GAGGTGAAGGTGCGGTCACAGTGAGGGCAGGTGTAGTCCTGATCCTCATCACTGGAATCGGGAGAGGTGGGAGAGGTGATGTTGGTTGGTGTGTTGGTGTTGGTGATGTGTGAGACAGCAGTCTGAACGGCCGCCGCTGGGGCAGTAGAGAGGGAGGAGGACGATGAGGACGAGGAGGATGGAATTGGTGGTGCAGAAGGAGTGTCAGAGTTAGTTGGCGGCAGAGAGGGCGAGGAAGAGGCGGGCGGGGGGACGATGGCTGGAGCAGTTCGAGAGGTGCAGTTGGTTCGGAGATGTCCAACAAGTCCGATTCGTGCCCGGAATGTCCGTTGACATCGAGGACACGTTGGGAGTGGTTGTGCGGCGGCGTTGCGGACTGGGCGAAGTTGTGATTTGCGGGCTTCGCGTTTCGCTTTGGCGGCCGCGATTCGGTTGGCTTCATAGATAGCAGCGCCCGTCTTCACTGTTTTCCTCCATGTCGGACGATCGCGAGCGAGCTCTTCCCAGTTGGTCGGGTTGATTTGCAGGCGCTTCATGGAGGACTTCAGAGTATCCTTGTAACGGCGAATTTGGCCTCCTTGACGACGAGAACCCGTCGCGACGTCTCCGTAGTAGAGTCGTTTGGGTAGTCGCTCGTCGTCCATGCGCACCAGGTGGCCGCTCCAGCGCAGCTGGATGTCCACCGTGTGCCCCACAGCTGCAGCAGCGGTGGGAGCAGGGACGGTGACTTGCGCAGAGGTTTATACTGCCGGTAGACTTGCGCTGCATCTACCTACACTCTCTCCTCCCTCACCACCTGAGCCCGGTGTCAAGACAGAGTCAAGAAGACCAGAGACGAGGGAGGCCGCAGGTGGATGGTTCGGACGGATCCTCACGTTGGCGTTCCACCACACCCCCTGGTCCAAACAACAAATGACCAGGATTTCAACCAACACAACAGAGATTTGGAGGCTGGCACGGCCGAAGCCGCACCTAGGCGTGCCGCCAACGCCTGGCTCGGATCCCACACTGTGGTAGAAGTGCCATAAAGGCCACATTCAAAAGGAGCCATTGCAGCCTGACTCTCAGACCGCCTCCAGTGAAGGAGGAGGTTCAAGTTACCCCGTTAGTTGACAACCTTCCAAGCCACGGCTTTTAGCGCACCGTGATAGCTTCAAGCCGTCAGATTGTTTATAGTGAGGAGAAAATGCACTGAGTCGTCGACCTCACTCTCCCTTCCCATCACCACACCCCAGCCTCTGTCCGAGTCGGTCAGTAGACTGGAGTGGGAAATGGGCGCGGTGGCTGGCACGGTCGGCTGACCATACCTGCCCGCGCCACAGCACGACCTAGCCCCCCATGCGCACACACCAGGATTTCACACAACGGGGGTTAAACGGCGTGTCTCTCACTTGCGTGAGAGGGCCGTGGAAGGTGCTGTTTCAGCCTGTCCCCAGCCCACCAGTCCACCACTCCACACAAAATACACACACACACACAACGCGACGAACTGCAGGGACCGAGTGGGGGCGTCAATCAGCAACCTTCCTATCCACGACGCTTGACGTGTCGGGATAGTCTCGGACTCAGGTCACCCGTGCAGCCGAGGCCGCAAGGGACCGAGACGAGATGCACACTTCCCACTTGCGTGGGAGGTGGCAGTTGGGTGCTTGCAGTGGGTGATTGTTGATGTGTGGTGGGGTGGTGGATGCAGGGCGGGTGTTTTGGTATGGTTTAACCGGCGGTTGTCTACCGCAGGTCGTCGTGGATGCGCATGTGACCGAATAGGCTCATGCGATGCCTGAAAGTGCCAGGACAGTGTGGGCAGTTGAGTCGAAATTGGTGGGTATAGGTTGGTGCCCCAGGCACTGGTTCTCCAGTCTCTGTGCGATGGATTCGCAGGTGACCGAACAGGCCGATGCGTGAGATGAACGTGCGTGGGCAGTGTGGGCACGAGAAGTCGGCGGTGTCGGTGTCAGCTGCAAAGGAAGCGGTGGTGGGGATGGTGATTGGCGCGCAGAGCAATGGAGCGAGGGTGGGACCGGGCATGGTAGGCGTGTTGGACGTGGTTGGTCTGTCGGAATTGTGGTCAGTTCCGCTCTCGTGAATGCGCATATGGCCGAATAGACCCATGTGATGCGGGAATGTGCGAGGACATTGTGGGCAGTGGAGGCGAGTGCGGTGGGTGTAGGTTGGTGCTCCAGGCACTGG